AGCATCTTGTGGCTCCAGCGAGCCGATCATAAGATTCCAGAGTTTCCGCTGAATATATCGTTAACAGTAAACTCTGATGGAAGCTTGTGGGGTCGGGAATCTAGAAGAATGGCCCAAAGACGACAAGGTGAGCAAAACCGTCGGTTTGGCGTCCATTTTTTTGTATAAATAGGCTAATATTAAAGGAAAAGGTCGTGGATGAGGGCAGCTGAGGCGACACTGCCCCACACCTCTGGGGGGTGCCGCATGCCTTAGGGCCAATGAGGTCATTTACAAATTTACGTGAGAAAGTTAAAATGAGAGCGAATTTAGTGGAAAATTTACGTAGCATTCAATGTTGTAAATGTTTTAATTGTTAAGTTGATTTTCTTTTAGTTGTTAGATTTGATTATTATTTTTTCAATCTTAGTAATTTATTTTTCATACCAATCAGTATTACAAACTATTAAAGAAGAAAAGAACTTGTTCACCTTTTGTACACATTTAGGTTAATTTGTTCAATTTAACGACTAAAAAAAAAGTAGTGTACAACAAGTGAAAAAGTAAGTGTACGAAATTTGTTCTCCAATTAATATTATTATTATGGGATGCCACACGACATTCCTAAAGTGTAGGTAAGTCCAAGCTGAGGTTAGGACGGTGAAACCCAAATGCAAAAGCCCCCACCTTTATTCTGTCGGAGCGTAGTGTTATTTTATGTGGGCGCTGGGCCGCTGGCTCACTCACAAGAGGTGTTAGTCCGAGTGCGATCCAAGTACAAGAGTTCTTATCCCCTGTGTTGCCTTGCCGCACAGAGGGAGCCTTCCTCGAGACTTCCTTCGTGAAAATGGACATGTTTTCACTTTTCATGATCACGATCGCTATCCACGTCTTGTGTCGTTTCATTTTCTTTCACAAAGTATGTACGTACCTATTTTAAAGTACCAATAATAGTTTTCTATATTCATATTTATGTAAATACGGAACTTTGAACACAATATATGAAATTCGACTTGAGAATGTTCTCTCTTGTTTCATTAGATACAAGAGGTATTTGTCGGTTTGTCATCTGAACTTGTATAGAGCTGCTAATTTTTTCCTTCAGCAAGTGGCATTTTACCACAATGGTGAAAATGTGTTGAGTTATTGCATAACGACGTGAGTTCGAACCTCGTTGGTGGCTAATATAACAAAATTTATCGTTTGACAAAAAAATAAAAAAATTTCCCCTGAACTTTAACTTTAGCCGATTACCCTCTAAAATTTTATAAATAGCCAATTCCTCCAACGTTAGATTTTAAAATTTTCATCCATCTAATTTCCCATTCTTTTTTGGCTTCATATAGTTGTCATGTATTGTCTCCGTAATCAAAATGGATGGAAAATTAGATGAATTTTTTAAATCTAGCGTCAAGCAAAAAATTTGCTATTTATGAAAGTATAGGGGGTAATTGACTGAAATTAAAGTTCAAGAGAAAATTAGCTAATTATAAAAGTTCAGGAGAGGTAATCAGCTAAATTACAGTTCAGGGAAGAAAATGACAACTCTACACAAATTTAGGAGCAAATCGATAAATATGCCTAGATAGATTACAACCGTACTTGACATTTAGGGTATTGTTGAGTGACTTGGATTGTCTGCCCTCCAATTTCTGTGCCCTCCTGTTTTTGTGGTCACGGTTAAGTCACGTCAACATTTTATATTACTATTTCTTTTTGTTTTATTATTTTTATAAAAAAATAATATAAAATATTGACGTAGCTTAACCGTGACCACACAAAACAGGAGGGCACGGGAAGGGCACCTAAATGGGAGGGCAGACAATCCAAGTCCTTGGTGAGTTAGATATGCATGTAGGAGTTGGCTCTTGGAAGGTTAAATCATTCTTATAGCTAGCTAGGGTTTTTCCCAAACTCCATAACCGGCGATATGGGCCAAATTAATGTATGGCTGCTGCTATATAGTTATTAGGGAGAGAGATTGGGTATGGGTGGAAGGTAGTTGATTTGCTCTGTGTGACTGTGTCACATCGACTGTTGGTTGGATATCGTATTTGTATTCGTATCGTATCATGTATTAATTAATAACGTGACCTAACAGTCCAAGTGAAAGACAATGTAACCATGTAAGTTGACCCTTCACCTATGTCTGCATGCCATATGATTTTTTATTCCATTTTATCCCAGTTTACACTAGATAATGGAGAACATGCCATACATTATCTTCTTGTTCAAGTTCTCTTATCCTTGAAGATAATTTCTTTTTTATTATTTTGTAAAAATACTTTTTTTTTTCTAACTTTTTGTAAAAATACTTGAGTATGAAGAAGCTTGTTATAATTAATAGGATTCAAATATCACAAACTAATTATTATTATTATTATTATTAAGAAGGGTTTGAGATCTAGAATACTAGCTGCCTTCATAATATTTTTTGCCTATCGGGACTTTCGAAAACTTTGGTATGCTCTAGTGTATGACATACACCAAATGAATGAATAGTTGGTTATATATGCAACCAAAGATTCAACTATCAAGGATTTCATATTTGAAGCTGTTCAAATGATAGGTCAACCAAATAAAGTCGTCTCTCGGTTAAAATTTTACTTAATCAAAATTGTTAAGTAATTTAACGATTTTCACTTTGATTCAATTTTAGAATATAAAATATGACAATAAAACTGAACAAAATCTTGATCACAAAAGCACAATGAACTAAAAGGTAGCTTAGCACAATTTCCTTATGGTGACAAGAAGATAATCTAAACCTAGACACCAATATTTTGATATATAGTTGGAGTCTTGGAGACATAACAATGAATTGGCTAACGAATCTATGGAACTTTAACGAAAAGTTTCTGATATTGTTCATTTTAACGAAAAACTACATTTTTATACTTAAAAGTTAATTTTGGTACTATTCACTTTACTCTTTATTTTGTCTTTAGTGTTAAAACTTAAAGTTTTCAAATATTTTTCATTAGTTTTCCTATGAATCTAACCATGTCTGCAGTCGCATGCGCCTCATGTTGTTACTAAATTAAAAAGAAAGAACAAAGAAATTGAAATCGAAATATAGATTCATCAATATTCAAAAGTAGATGTTGTCATGCTCCTGCGTGAGCACATGAATCTTTATGTTTTGTTTGGTATTCTTCATCTACCAAAGCTGCTTTAACCCGTCTTCCAAAAAAAAAAGCTGCTTTAACCCTCTCGCACAGTTCGAGCACTTTGACTGGTAGTTGGGGAGAAGTTTTTTCTTATGATCGGAACACGGATAATACATCATATATTTCTATATAAATGATGAAAAATTGTATTTTTAAGTTATTAAATTTTTTAACATACATATTTTATTATTTGTATGAAGACACGTGATATACCAATTCGTGTTTCAATCACATTGAAAAATCTCTCGTAGTTCGGAGAGAATGAGAGAGAGGAGGAAACCTTACCTCCCAAGTTAACCAGTAAAGGCATCAAACGTGGCACAAAACCATTTGCCGCAATTTGCAGGGAGAGAAAGCAGACCAGAGTCCATACCAGTTCCTTCAAGTTGGCAAATTCCAAGTTCCAATCCCACAATTATTGGTTGCAGCTTGCGTGCTACTGCTCCCTTTCTGGATTCTGCGTTCACAAACTGTCATCCACATGGTGGTGTATGAACAAGTTTTATCTCCAACCCTCAATGATCTCGCTTTCTACGAACTTACCCTTTTAATCCCTTGTTGGGTCTCTCTTTTCTTTATTTTCTGAATTATTTAGCGCTCGCATGAGCATTTTTCTCTCTACGTGCACCATCCCTCCACGATATATATTTAAAAAAAAAAAAAAAACAGGTGTACTCCTCTTTTAAGAAAATTAGTAAATGAACAGCGTTTCTTTTTTTTTAAATATTTTAACTTTAGATTTTCTTTCTTCTTCTCATTAGTTATTTAACGGCAATTTTTTTTCACGAATTATCAAATTAACATTCAAACTCAAAATCTTGTCATCTTGATTTTTGCAATAGGGTTGCCACCAAATGATGTTAGTGTTTTGTATTTGAATTAGGTTTTGAATTTATAAATTAAAAACTAAAAATCAATGATGAATTGATTTAGCTAATGAACGAAGAGAGAAGATGGAGTACGGCTTCTCTTGGATTCGATTACTCAGCAAGATAACCGTTGCAAACCCACTCACGCCTAAAACATGACTCAACTTGTGCGCACATCATGTGTATAGCCAAATTAAGACACACATCTGCTGTAATAGTTGTCATACATCTAGCCTATGAGCTAGTTCTAATCTTAGTTGTTCATTACAAACAAAAACATAAGAGCAAACAAACTCATAAATTCAACATTTAAATAAAGTGTAATCTGCTCAAATGCTTATTCTTTTGTACAATTCTAGGGTTTTGCATATTAGAAGGTATTCGTCTCTCAATCTACAACTCTCTAATTTATTTTCTTTTGACTTTTAATCTTGGCATTGTTTATGTATTTAGTTGTGCTCTCTAGATTGCAAAAAGTTTTCTCCCTTCAGTTGTAAATAATAAATAAATTTATGTATTTAAATATAATATCATTATAAATAAATAAGTGTGGCTCATACTAATATTCATATTATAACAAAAGTAAATTATAGTAATGGTCTCTTAATTTTAACTTAATTGGAGTAATGATTCCTCAACTAAAATTTAATTACCATTGAGTCCTCAACTTTAATCAAATTGAAAAATTAGTTCATTAACTTTAATCTAATTGTAGCAATGATCTTTATAACATAACTTATTTTGACAAAATTCTGACGAAATTAACGAAAATAACCGTAACTACATATTTTGATGAGTTGATGAACCAATAATAATAAATTTTTAATTAAAAAACCATTACATAATTTGATTAAAGTTAAAAAATCATTGATGCAATTTACTCTTATACACATCTCTATCTCCCAGTACAACTTCCACAAGAAAACTTATGGACACCGATACCTTGGAATATTAAACTCCTTTATTTTTTCTTTATAAACCCATAGCGTCTCCACCCTTTTTCCACACACCTCCCCTTTAGAGAAAACACAGACACCATTCTCCCCCAAAAACCATGGCATCAACCATGTCTCTCGCCGTATTCACCATCCTCTTCCTCTCCTTCACCCTCTCATACTCCTCCCCGATCGTCGACTCTCGGAGCGAGGCCGACGTCAAAGCCATCTACCAAGAGTGGCTCGTGAAGCACCAAAAGACGTACAACGGCATCGGGGAGGAGGAGAGGAGGTTCGAGATCTTCAAGGACAACATGAAGTTCATCGACGAGCATAATGCACAGGACCGTCCGTACAAGGTCGGTCTGAACGCTTTTGCTGACCTGACCAACCAAGAGTACCGTGCCAAGTTTTTGGGCACCAGGAGTGACCCTAAGCGCAGGGTCATGAAAGCCAAGAAGCCGAGCCTGAGGTACGCTTTTCGCGCAGGCGAAACGCTGCCGGAATCTGTGGATTGGAGAGTCAAGGGTGCCGTGAATCCCATAAAAAATCAAGGAAGTTGCGGTGAGTAATTATTTTTTTTCAGTACTCACTTTTTGTTGGATGAAGGAACTTAATTCATCGGTTTACATGTTCTTTCTGCAAAGATGGTCCCCTAACATGTTGATTGATAATTCCATAAGTCTGATTAATTGTGTCATGTTCAAATTGATTCTTGATGTGTGTATCAAAATTCATGTTCAAATTGATTATCGGTGTGACCCAAATTAAACTCGTCACTCAGTCCTCTGCACAATTCAATTAAACAGATTTATCATATTAAAGTCAGATTCTTTGTATTTAGAACTAAACTTTTGATAAATTTAATTAATCGTGTCATGTTTACATTGATAAGTCTAATTATTTCATGTCATGTTGCTGATCAAATGTGCGGATTGATTTTTAATGTGACTCAAATAAGTCAAATCCATAACAAACAAAAACCTCAACTACTAGTTTTGTTATTTTATATGAATTTAATCTCAGTAGTTTGTGTAGCCTTTCTTCTCGAAGGGACAAGGCATCTCCATCTCCATGGGTATGAGAAAAGGCCTCATGATATTTAGTAATTTTTTTTTAATCTTTTATTTTTGTAAAGAAGAAAGGAAAAAAAGAGTGCTTTTGTCGGTGGGAAAAGGTGAAGTCTTTGAATGGTGGGAAGCCCTGCTCTGCACTCCACCACTGTTGAATTTTAGTGATGCACGAAAGGGACCTTGGTTCCTCTCCATATCCTCTTTACTAAGATTTTAGAAATTCGTAAATTGTGTTCTTTCATGCGATCAGAAATTATTTAAAATTAAATATAAATAATATTTTGATAAAAATTGTGAACACGATTTATAAATCTTGAGATTTTCATAAAAAGAATCCAAAGAGAAGGTGGCAGATGGTTGCTACTTGCCAGTAGTTTGGACTTCCAGTTGCAAGTTGGGATTCCTTACCCTCACCTCAATATAAAATAGCAACATCACTTTTCTTTTTAAAAAAAATGTCTTTTTAAAATATTTTTAATAATTATAAATACTTTATAAATGATATATTAACAACTCTTGTGATGGGTGATACATAATGTTATGTGAAAATATTTATACATAATATTGTGTTATTGGTATTGAATGTTATAAAATTAGTGTGATGTGAAAGTCCTTTTCGTATTATTGCGTAATGCGACTTGATGTTGATGAAATACCAAAATGTTTCTCCAAGCTCACTCAAAACCCAAACATGGCTACAAAGTTTTTGCTCACAAAAACCTTTGAAATTCTTGCGTGCAGGAAGTTGCTGGGCTTTCTCGACAGTGGCCGCGGTGGAGGGCATAAACCAAATAGTCACAGGAGAGTTGGTGTCTCTCTCAGAGCAAGAGCTCGTAGACTGCGACAGATCCTACAACGCCGGCTGCAATGGCGGTCTCATGGATTACGCCTTCGAGTTCATCATCCAAAACGGCGGTATGGACACTGAATCGGACTACCCTTACAAAGCATATGACCAAAAATGCAACGTTGCACTGGTGAGTCGTCAATTTTCAAATGCCAATTCCCTAATTATACTCTTTTAACTTAGGGTAGCCTTTTGTTTTTCCTAACATCTTTCTTTGTTGCACTATAATTTTGCAGGAGAAGAATAAGGTTGTTAGCATTGACGGGTACGAAGATGTTCCGTCCTATGACGAGAACGCTTTGAAGAAAGCCGTTGCACACCAACCCGTTAGCGTTGCCATTGAAGCCGGCGGTAGGGCCCTACAACTCTACGAGTCGGTAAGCAAACTTCATATATGTCACTACCTCACATAACTGTCTGATAACATAACATGTTCGAGAACTTATTTTGTTTTGGTAATTTTTTTTTTCAGGGTGTTTTCACCGGTGAGTGCGGGTCAGCATTGGACCATGGTGTCGTTGCTGTTGGGTATGGCACCGAGAACGGCACGGACTATTGGTTGGTGAGGAACTCGTGGGGCGCCAACTGGGGAGAGAGTGGATATTTTAAGATGGAGAGAAATGTTGCAAGCACATACACAGGCAAGTGTGGAATTGCAATGGAGGCTTCTTACCCAACAAAGAAGGACCAAAAGTACCCATCAAGCTCTTTCTTTGCTGAGGAAGACATCAAGATGGTCACAAGTGCATGAAATTGAAATGATGGGGGCCTTTTGGTCAATTGCGGTACAATATGCCCAATGTGTTCCATTTTGTGGTCTAATTTTACAAAAAGGATGAGGAGGGTATTGGTATGATTGATTTGGGATAAAATTATTGTTTGTAAATAGATTTTAATTATGTTGAAATTGCACCTAGCAAAACTGATAAATTGGTGCAATCCCATTCCTATTTCAATCAAAAGTTTTACTTTTATTTATATGTACATTACTTGGGTTACTGTTTTTTTCTTTCGTTATAGGAATAACATTTTTATTTTCTACCAAATCAAACGTATACGTTTTGAAAACTTTAATGGTAAATCAAAATAGACAAACAACATGACTGCAAAAACAAAAAACTCTTGAAAAATAAAAAGCTAAATGCGAATAAAAACCGAAAAAAAATCCATCACCGGGATCTACTAACCTGTGTTATTTACAAGAGTTAACTTGAGAATCACTTGATTAATCAAAATGTCATGTAATTAATGGGATAATTTGGGATATTAGGTCAATTTAGAGTTCCTTAATTACTTACTTTCATATCCAATATGGATTGTAAGGTGTATATGGCTTTTGGGGCTTGTTAGACAGAATATCTCAAGCACAAGTATGATGTCTCTTAACTCTCGACACCTCTAGTGTTAGAACTTGGAGAGAAATGATTTTTCTCAAGAAAGTGAGAAAACCAAGATCTGTTACAATCAAATAAGAAAGCCGTAGTGGCTTGAACATGGAGTTTTCGATCCCAAACATACATATTAGGAAGGAAAAGATCTAGATTAGTCACATCATCTGCTACAAAGTTCGTCTCTCAATAGACATGCCTTCATGTAATGTAGTAAAAAGAAGCCAACCATTGAATATCCGCAACTGTTCCACGAGTCCTCCAAAGAACACCGCATCTTCCTTCAACTGCACTTGTGACCATCTCGAGTTTGAAAAAGTTCATCCCAACTGTAGCAGCAAGCAAACGAACCTTATAAATCACGTCTTATTATTGCAGAAATAATTTCCTTGCCGCAGTTGTTAACAAGATGGAAATTAAGAGCCACGATGATGATTGAACAGCGAAGGTTGGCACAAGAATAAACCATAAGAGTAAGAATATAGGACATCACAAGATTGCAACTAAAAGTCATCTTAAAAAGGATCCACGACGGATGCACCTTTGGTTTACATCTATTAAAATTTTAATTTAAAACAACCATCTGGTCCAATTTATATCATGATGTTAGCAACCCATCATCTTCAACCCCTTGATAGTTGACCCTTTGCAAGCGAAATCCAACGGTCCTCAATCACTCAGCTTATGTTGTTGTATCAAATTTAACGATCAAATATGTGTCTGCATTGCGTGATTGCATGTATTCAAGAAAAATTGTTTTGCAGGCTGTGCTTTTTATTGCTTAGGATTCAAGCCAAATACCAATCTCAGGACGGCATTTCTGAGCCAACAAAAAAATGGTTGCCGCGACCGCGATAAGGAGCTCCTGAGCTGGTACCTCATCACAGTCAAACTCCTAAAAACCGTCGAATCTGGAATCGCAAAAACTCCTACTTCCACAAACAGATCAGTTGAACTGCCACAACAAGAAGTTCATCATCAGCAGCAGCTACCATCTGAGCCACTCCAAATTGTGATCCAAAATGGTTGTAATCAAGAACTTTGAAGAGTGAACTGAGTCGCGGGAATCCGAGTGAATGATCAACGTCAAAGACGAACTTGATCAGGCCAGCCATGACAACGTGGCGAGTTTGTGGGCAAAGCACTGCATTTACAGAGTCCCACTCTACTTGAGGGAAGGTGATGACAAAGCTAATGTGCCTGAAATTGTGTCACTACCATCACGGCAAGAGGCGCCTTCGCCAAAGGGACCGCCACAAATGGCGGTCGCTTCATCTAATGCTTAAGCGGACAAACCAGTTCATAGAGCTGTATCTTGATTCTATAAAAGAAGTTGAAGAAAAGGCTCGAGCTTGCTACGAAGGGCCAGTTGCAATGGGGCTCAGCAGCAACGAGTTCGTAGAAAAGATGGTGCTTGACGGTTGCTTTGTGCTCGAGCTGTTTCGAGGTGCTGCCGAGGGATTTAAGCAACTAGGTTACCCTCGAAATGATCCCATATTTGCAATGCGTGGCACAATGCATTCGATTCAGAGGGACATGATCATGCTTGAGAATCAGCTTCCGTTTTTCATTCTTTATTGGTTATTGGTGCTGCAGTATGGAGATCCTGAGCAGAAAGGACTTGTAGCTAAGCTAGACTCGGGGTTTTCGATCCATTGATGCCAACTGACGAGCCATTGACAAAGAGCGATAGGAACAAACTCCAGTCATCGCTTGGATACGCAACCACCTTCGATCCCGTCTGAACAAGGTGGCCTTCATTGTCTTGACGTGTTCAGGCGAAGTCTATTGCGCACGGGACTTCAGACTGTGCCGAGAGTTTGGATCAAGAGATGGTCACACTCGATTCGGGTGGAAGATAAACGGAGGCAGCAGCTAATTCATTGCGTTACGGAGCTCAGGGAGGCCGGGATCAAGTTCAAGTTCAAGAAAAGGTTATGTAAACTGTAAGTGAAACTTGTGTGTGTAAACTTACGTGTTGTCCTCGAAGGCATTACCGACACAAGCATTGAGGCAAACAACTAGTAAGCTAATCCATTATTCTCACCATAAGCGAATAACCATCACAATTACAACATAAACGAATCTTCAATACAAGTGCTTGAGAAGTATGATTCTTGAAGCATAATCGAAATAAACAACAAATTTCAGCCTTCAGCCGAGGAATAACCGCGTTATGTCCAGATACAAGACGCGTGAATTGGCTCCAAAGATGATTCCTCCAGGCCGCATATCTTCCAAAAAAACTCCCGTGGCTGTTGAACACAACACATGAGAACAAATTGTTACCATGAGAAATGTTGAATTGGTAGCTTAATTTAAACACAAAGAGATTTAAGTCAATGCACCTGAAGGTTTCAGTCCCTAGGGAGGAGGGTTGTAGCCTTTACTGAAGACGAATGAGCTTTCTTTCCATCGTACCGCTGCAAATAATAACAATTTGAGTATGAATCCACAGAAGCAATGGGGACAATGGGGATCAAACCATCAAACCAATGGTTGAAGTAAGACTTATTTCGGGTTCGTTTGGGCGGCGAAGGCAAACCTGTTTCCCAAAAGAGAAGGGGACGTATTTGTATTTGATCATGTGTACAATCTGTCTCCTCATGGTGAGAACGAAGAGCACCACCCAGTAGAAGAGAAGTATTGGCCAGAACACAGGTACATCAAACGCACTGAAGAATGTCATCGCAAAAGCGATGCAAAATGCCTTGGTGATTGAGTACCTTCCACACACAATCACAAAAACCAAACCAATTTCAACAATAACCAAATGGGCAAATGGGCAAATGGGCAAATGGGCAATCGGGCAAATGATTGTATAATCTATATGGGATTACCGACGGCGAGAAGCAATGTCATTGAGGAATTTCGACAAACACAAACAAGGCAATCACGAATTGAACGCAAAGGCGACAACTTTACACAGTGAGACGGGGAAATTACCAGAACTTGAACTCGGGGAGGCGGCGGACGAAGGGGCGGAACTCATCGGATCCGCGGGTTGGGAGGGAGGGGCCGTCGGAGGAGGAGAGGTCGTGGATCTCCGGGTCGACCTGAGGAGAGAGAAACCCGATGAGGAGGTTGAGAATGTAGATCCCCAAGCCGTACGACACCACGTAGAAGCCTTGGACCAGGTACACGCGTAAGACGTAGATTAAGGCCGCCGCCAGGCACGCCAGCCACCGGTACAGCACGTGCGGCGTCGTGCGGTCGAGCACGTGCTGGTAGCGCCGCGAAACGCCGTAACTCCAATCCGACACGGCTGCGAACGGCGATCCCTTGAACGGATCGTCGGCGGCTGCTGCGGCGAGACCCACTCCCGCCGCTCCAGTGTCCATTTCCCGAGCTTGTTTATTGGGTGGTGGTCTTCTCTCTCTCTCCCTCTCTGAATCTGTCTCAGGGCGATTGTCCTTGGAATTAGTGGTTCAGAGATTTTATATTTGGGGCCGTTTCGTCGGGGAGGGAGGTGACCTCAATTTTATGGGTCACCGGTTCGACCGGATCTATTTCGGTTTGGTTAGGCACTAGTGGATCTCAATGGGATTGTTTTTATTTTATTTTTTGGTTTATTTTGCGAACTTTGTGAAAAAGGTCGTTGACCCTTGGATTCCAAACTTCCAAACTTTGTAATTGCAGCAGCACCAAATCTTCCTCCTGCCCGGTAATATTTACGTCTAAACATTACAACTCCTTTTCTTTGCTTCAATCCAACATCTCAATCAAATTAAACAGGAACGCCTGAAAGGCTCTCCGCCTTCATACAAATCCAGAATCTCGGTAAGCGCTCTCTCACATTGCCCACTCTATACCTATATTTACACAATTTGGCACCTTATCTTTTGAATTTCTCAATTCGATCGGTGATGATACAAGAAATTTTCGCATTTGCCATTGTAAAAGATGAATCTTGACGGATCTTCCTGCGTGTATTTGTGAGGTGTCAATCGTACGATGCATTGTGGTTAATCAAGAACTTGAATACTACAGATTTAGAATAAAACCCATGTCTCTGATTGACTGCATTGTTGGTTTTGTATGTGGAATGTATTAATCGAACCGTTAATCTTCGTTTTCAATTGGGTTTTTACGGTTCAGCTTATGTTCGAAGCACGAATTCCTTTTAAATAACTTTTGATTCATTTCTTTATGTTGTAATGCAGTCACTTCACTTGGTTGTTTGTTCCTATTGATGTATTGTTTTAGGATCTCCATTGAGTTCTACCTGGGCAGTGTTGGGACCTCCATTGATTCCCCTGAATGGAGTCGAAAGCTAATGACCCGTCAACTCAACCTCCTGCTAAAGATTCTGGGGTTGAAAATGCTACTGCTGCCTCTGGTCAAGATAATAATAGCACTCAATATGCAAAAGCGGTATCTGGGGTTTTTCTTTCATTTACAAAGGGTTTGTTTAACACATCTCAGAGCGCAGTGAAGGCTGTGCAGGTCAAGGCGCGCCATTTGGTCTCTCAAAACAAACGAAGATACCAGGTACCTTACCACAGTTGAGGGGTGCTTCAGTTTTGTTTCTTGATTATTAACGCCGTGTGTATCAACAAATTCAAGTACTTTATTAACATTTCAATTTTTGATAGAATGCGAATAGGGTTTTCGATGTAGATTGCTCAGACAATAATTCAACAAAATTACATACTGGTGAATGGTGATAGATTGGCTTGGGTGTTTAGGCATTCGGTGACTAGGTGATGTCAGACTTTTCCTTCATAGTCAACCCATCGAACTATTAAACTTATCATTAGATATTTGAATGTGGCCATTGATACCCAAAGTATGTACACAAGAAATGTTTTTATGGTATTAGAAACTTCAGTGGCATCAAAAGTCCAGTCCTTATTTCCTTGTACTACTTGGCCATGCTGACCTTTTGGACTATTGTGTGAGAACTGTTGGAGTTTGGTGGCTTGGATTAAAGCCACATTTGCGTCCCACATTGGCTAGAAGAAGAGTCATGTAGTACTTTATAAGCAATGGTACCACACACACATATTGCCAAGGCCTTTTGGTAAGACCCCACACCCGTTTCTCCCGGGTGGCTAAAGTGGGGGAATATCGGCAATATTCGACTCGTGTGTGTGGGACCCATCACTTAAGCATTCAGGAATTATTAGGGTGTATGTGCATGTATATGATTTTTCTTTTCTTTGGTTAACTTCTTAATCATTGCAGTCAGTTACCTTTTGCACCTACCTTTGTTTTCACCTAAATAAAATTGTGAGTTTTCCACAAAGAATGTTGCCTATGAGAGCCACCTATTCTTCACTAAATTTGCAGGAGGGGGGTTTTGATTTGGATCTGACATACATTACTGAGAATATAATTGCAATGGGTTTCCCAGCTGGAGATATAAGCTCAGGTCTATTTGGATATGTTGAGGTAATAAAATTACATAGTTTTTGTTTGGAATCCAGTAAGCTTGGGTGTGTCGTTTTTAACATACCAACTACAACATGTGATGCAGGGTTTTTACCGAAACCACATGGAAGAAGTCATCAGATTTCTTGAGACTACTCACAAGGTGGGAATCAGTTTTCAAATTTGAAGGCATAAATACTTGACTTTGGAGCATGAAAATCTATTTACAGTTCAGGAAAATATCTGTTGAGCTTAAAGAACATGGTGCTTCTAGGTTATCTCTGCGGTTCTGTTCCTCTTTTCGGCCAATGACTGGTTTAAAAAACTCTGTCAATTTGACATTTGTTTTGCAGGGAAAATATAAAGTGTACAATCTTTGTTCAGAGAGATTGTATGATGCATCGCGATTTGAGGGGAAGGTGTGTTTTTTGTCTTCACTTGCATTGTGTTGAAGGCTTAAAGAAATGTGAAGGAATCTGATAATCCGTCTTAAAGAAATGTGAAGAAATGTGTAGAAAAATTGCAGGATTTACTTTTTTTTTTTTCTGGCATATATATTAGCTTAAATACAAGTCCATGGCCAACCGTCAGTTACCTTGTCAGTGCACCAAGTTGTGAGGCTGTCCCAGGTTTTTGGTTCTTGCCGTTTGCAAAAATGTGAAACCTCATTAGTAAATAGAAAAATAAGGCATGATATTGCTGCTAGATGAAGGGGTTGGGACTTTTTATACGCAAAAAAAATTAAGCAACACTGTATCATTGATGGAGCTATTAAAGTTTTTCAACATCTTGATTAAACAACAAAATGGCCATATCATAAGATATTATGTGAATGATGTGATAGACTAAGGAGAGCTATTTTGTATGCATTAATGTATTGGGAAAGAAACTTGAAAGTATTGTCAGAAAGATTAAGAAGTTTAACTTTTCAATGCTGCAATTCTGTTTTTCAGTCATGTTGAATAACAGCTTCTTCTATATTTCGCTTCTCTGAATGTTTTAAGGCTGCAAGTTTCCCGTTTGATGATCATAATTGCCCCCCAATCGAACTCATAGAATCTTTCTGTCGAAGTGCTCATTCATGGTTAAAGGAGGGCATTGAAAATGTTGTGGTCGTCCATTGTAAAGCTGGTATGGCAAGGACAGGAGTAATGATTTGTAGCCTTCTCTTACTTCTTAAGGTGAGATCAATAATCAGCACCTTAAGACCTGAGGGTTGTATGCTGGAAACATTGGTGCTTCTTTTGGCTCTATATTTCTTGCACTTATGACCATAACCTTTTCTTGTTTGTTTTTCCATGACTCTGCAGTTCTTCCCTACGGCTGCGGAGGCCATGAATTACTATAACCATAAAAGATGTATAGATGGAAAGGCTTTGGTTCTCCCTAGTCAGATTGTGAGTCGGTTAAAATTTTCGGATTTCCTTTTCAAGCTTGATGTTCCTTATCTATCTACATCATTGTGATTAACAATTTTTTCTATTATCTTCCTAGAGATATGTCAAATACTTTGAGCATATCTTAAAACACTTCAATGGAGAAACTCCTCCACCTCGAAGGTACACTTTTGATATAGTTCTCCAAAATATATCAGTCTGACCATTCACTTGTATATATATCGAAGTGTTACAGTGGTGTTGTAATGAGGACCTAGGTTGAGGAGCTAAGTTGAGAACTGAGGTATTGAATCAGATATAGGTTATTAAGGTGCACAGTGGGTGAGATGCATCTCAATCGTCCATATCTAAAGTTATCAACGTAGATCGCTTGCCTCTGTGTGTGTGTTTGTGTACTAGTGTGTCTGTACTGTAAGACTCCATTTTAGAAGGTACTAAAGTTGTGATATTATAGGTGCATGCTCAGGGGATTTCGGCTTCACAATTGCCCTTATTGGATTAGGCCCTCCATTACAATCTCGGATCATAAAGGTAAGCTTTGATGCTATCATCCTTGCAATATTCTGTGATGCTCTGAACCATCACACTTTTTATAGATATTTATAATTAGTATATAAGATGCTGTACTGTTCTTTGATTCCCAAGAGGCAATTTTGTTTTTAAATATTGATCCTTTTTCTAATATTGTTCACTTCGTGAACTAGTTACTTGTCCAACCTTGAATTTGTTAGCGTTTGTGATAAGGGAATCTAGTACTGAGTTACAGATAACGCTTCGCAGAGTTGCCGTTGAGTACTCGTACAATACTTGAAGTTGTGATGATTATACATTTTGTGTGTGTTTGCATCTTTGCGTGATGATTCATTGTGTGTTGTTGCATGTGCGTGTTTTTAGAGCCCTGCATGCATATTCATTTCTTAAAATGCCTTCACTCTTTCCACATTTAGAAGCTGTTTTATGCTACTTATCAGGATGTTTATCCTAATGCACAGGAATTTTGTTCTCATCAAGAAAGCATCCAAAAACAAAAGATCTTATGGTAAGTGCTTGTCAAAGTAAAACGGTTTCGATATGCATGCTATATTTTTTTTTTATACATACGTAGAAATCCATTGAATTTCTGATTTAAGGCCACTAACTCATTCTTTTAGCCAGAAGATTTCTGGATCAGTGCACGGAAGAAAGGGATTGTGGTTTTCGCTCTACCAGGGGAACCTGGTCTTGCTGAGTTAGTGGGGGATTTCAAAATCCATTTCCTAGATAGCCATGGAGATTTCTATTGGTATGTAATCGGTTCCCCTATATTACTCTTGTTTATGTTATGATGCAACTTTTCTTTACTAGTTTAATGACGAATGTTGAATCTGTCATGCTTTTCGTTTCACGGAACCTGCTCTAATATTGCTATTCTCATATCCAAAATTTTACTTTCAGCAATTGTGGTACAAGAAATGGAATAAATATATATAAAGAGACTAGACTGCCAGATTGATTTCGTTTGTATTCTCACCTCTTTTTCAGCTGGTTAAATACAATGACAGAAAACAGAAAAATCTTAACCGCAGATGACCTCGATGATTTTGACAAGGTTAATGGTTTGACCTTCATCTAATTACTTATGAATATGATATATGTCAAATGTTAGATCGTCTCTTACTTTCTCTACCTTACATTTCTGTTTCTCCGTGGTGCTTGCTTGTGAAACACCTTTGGTTGTGATTTGCAGAGAAAATTCCCTTGTCCAGGATTTCAGGTTGAAGTTGTGATGATAGACTATGATGGTACTGCTTTGCCTACAAAAGATAAAGCAGATTCTTCCGGTAGAAAACCTGAGGGTAGCTCAAGTGACGCCAATGCTTCAAGTCGTGGTGTTGCAGGAAACCCCAACCAAAGTAAAATCTTTCAGCGTGAAGATGGTGACGATGTATTTTCAGATAGTGATGGAGATGAGCCTGGGGATAAAACGAGCAGGCAACCGGAAGCTAATTCTAGAGCTGGAATTGCTGCATCCAATCATCCATCTAACACCAGAAGTGTGGATAGCCCGCGGAGAACTTCCAGAAAACCGACTAGTGATGGAGCTGAAAAATCTCACCTGGGCCACTCCCGCAAGTTGAGCTCATCGGGGGCAGATGATATAAGGGCGATAGCCGCGGATGCTTCAGTTTTCTCTTTCGGGGATGACGATTTTGATAGTGAATGAAGCAGTTTGACCATTTTACTTGACATTGTACAAGAAATACCACTGTATTGTGTATTTACAATTCCAAACAATAGATAGCAGAGCTCGGAAGGATCATAGGAATCAGATGTTGGTTGATTGTTTCCTTCATTGTTTTCAACAGAGGTATCAGATGCTAATTGAAAAGGGGCGTTAATCTCGCCATTTTTGCAATCCTTTAACAGTAAAATCCACCCTACTCAGTTCGTTATTTAGGTAGAATTGCTAACATGAAATCGTTCTTTCTTTTTTCGAAAAAAAGAATCAAATGTTGTATCACCAATCAAAGTTACATATAAATAAATCTGTATCTTTGGAAAATCCCACCAGTCAAAATTGATCAGCAGCAAAACTGATGTACTTCTCGAGGGATGCAACGGGGAAGCCATAATTGCCAAAAAATGAGACCTTCGACCTTCGACATTTTTCTTCATGAAGCCTGATGTTAACTGCCCATCACATTCAAAGAGCTACGAGCTGTTGCAACACGCTGAGCATTGACGTGCCTCCAGAGACGCGAATAATTCTCGGGGCCACGCTAAATTCTACTTCCCTTTTTTCTTGCCCCCTTGGAGTTTAGAAACAATCTTATTCAGTGTCGAAATTTCAAACTCTTTATTTTGAAGTTGCTGCTTCAGTCCTTCAATCTCCTTTAATTGATCAGAACACTTCTCTAGGGCCTTTTGTTGTTCTTCCTTCAAACGTTCCATCTCTTTAAGGTGATCGCAGCACTGATTTAGCTCTGCCGTTGTCTCCTCTTCTGCTTTCTGACCTGTCTTTTGTTTTTTATGTACACCTGAGTTCTCTTCAACTTCTAAAGCTCTCTTTGATGAGACTTGGGCAGAGGAATCAACGTTTGCCATTTTACGAACGAATAAATCAGCAGTTACACCTGTGCTGAGCTTAAATGCAATAAGTTTCTGGGGCCGTCCACATGAGTCCTATAATAAAAATAGATTAACATTGTTATATTCTTTATAACCAAACAAATCCGAGTGCCTTACAGACGACAGAATTTCCTTGTAATGACAACTAACCCCATCACATGAAGCACACAAATGAAAATCAACGGATATATAACCCGAAAAATATACTCATGTAAAAAGAACAGCATGCACACAATAAGATCTCTTATATATGTGTTCGACATTGTCAATGAGATATGTTTATACCATATTTAGGACCTCCGTATTTAGATCTCGTACAAATACTCAGGAGACTTAAATGTAATTATGTAAGAAAGGAAGGGGCAAATATGTAATAAGTGAGGAGTCCTTATTCTATAAAAGGACTCCTCACCCTCACAGTTAGGGGAGGCCATTTCTTAAGCCTTCTCACCCCTCTCACATCCCGTCTCATATTCAGAGGTTCTCTTCCTCACCTCTCAGATAAATACAATATCAGTGTGGACGTAGCCAAACCTCAGGGTGAACCACGATACAACTTGTGTTATTTACATTTCTTGCAGATTCACGGGTTGGATTTACGTTGTTCCAAGACCTCCGGTTTTGTGCATCAACAAGATATCTTCTAGTTGTGGGACCCACTTCACATCGAACTTCAACAATCAAAATCGTCTAATTTTTAAGTCTATAATCATAGATCATCCTTGCAAAAAATCAATTTAATCCGAAACCATTTACCCATTTAATGGTAATTCCATGTTTCTAAGAACATAGTGTTCATCAATATCTTTAAACTCAATTAGACGCCTCAAACATTTCCAATTTTGGCTAATATTTTGCAAGATGTTCTACGAAGTGCAACTTGAAAAATAGATGGTTTGGATTTTTGGAGTTCGATGTGGTGTGGGCCACACAATCAATCCCCATTTTTTCAAAAAATGGGGATCCCCTTAAAGCCTCTGGTCAACGGTATAAAGATATATAAATGTATGTACCTTCTCCCGGCTGCCTTGGACTTTTTCATATGCCTGATGTGCTTCTTGTGGACTCGTAAAGATAGCAAAGGCAGAATATTTATCTCCTTGCACTTTCACAGATGGTTGCTGGAAATGATTAACTACATTAACTTCACAGTAACAAGCAGGGAAGAAAGCGGGAAGGGGGGAGGAAGAAAGTTATGATATCCCGACCATTTTATCCAAATGAAAGCCAAACCTTGGTATCTATGATGTGGTGTGTGAAGGTCTTTTGGAAGTAAAACCATAACATAATACCTCTATAGCACACTGAACCACTAAATTTAAAAATGTAGGGATATATATCGAACCTTGACTTGTATTGTATAGTTCCCAGGAATGACATTGTGCAGTTCTTCACTAGGCACTGTAATTGGTATCCTATGCAGAAGTAGCTTTGCCATATTAACTTCACGTACCTACAATAGAAGGATTTATTTAGACAATAATGAATGATGTACCTGGAATTACTGTCTTGGAGTTTAAAAGATGATGAAAAACTAGAAACTCACATCCTCCTGAGCTGGGGGGGCAATAACACCAACTTCGCCCTTTATCTTAGCAAGAACTAGTTTCATTGCAGCACAAGCATCATCCAGACAATTGTGTGGAGAACCTTGCTTCCGGACTTCATAACCCAATACAGACTGGATAAAATAATATGGAAAAATAAGTCGTCCATCTCAAAAAAAAATCCCAACACATGGTTTCTTTGCTTTAGTTCTTGTTAGAGTATAACAGAAGCTTTAAAAGTTGATCCCAAAAGCATCTCCAAAGTGATAATACACAATGCCAAAAATAAAAAATAAAAAATAAATATGTAGACCACCATCCTAAATAGCCAAAGTTAGTAAATAACTGCCCACATTGCAACAATCAAGAACTTAAAGGTAAAAAAATTTCAAGTCATCCCTCATTAAAGGTGGACAAACACTCAATTGCAGAATCATGCAATAGACTAATTAATAGATTCCAGTTTCTTATAACTTGCCTTACACAAATTGTTCAAGGAAGGTTTTCTATGAATAGGTCCATCAGAGTATCTGTAGATATATGCAGTATCGATCACCCTGGCATGTTCTAACTTCAGTGCTGTGAACAAAAAAGATCAATATTAAGAACAATGAACAATACAGCAAAAAATTAAAAAAGAACTACAAAGTCATACTTAAATTGCAGAAACTGAAAAGGAGAACAACATATAACGAGTTGTTTCAAAAAGGCCCAAATATCTACTTATAGAATAACTGTTAACTTACCTTGCAGGTCATTACATAAGCTATGCCCGACTAAAATAGTACCATCTGACAACAACTTCTTCAAGAGTTTCTACAACATAAACCAACAAGTTCAGGTAAGAAATGGTCATGCATAATCCCTTGAAATCAGATTGAAAAAGAACCCCTTGAATCATGTAAATAAACTTCATACCTGTATATCCTTCAATGTGCATGTAATTCCATCCAAATCCGATGCTGAAACTCCTGTAATCTCAGATCTGTAATCAGTAACTTCTTTGCAAGGGTTTACAAATTCATTCAGTTTGACCTGAAAAGCCAAAGTCCAAATTCATAAGGTTACAGAGAAAAGGGACTTTGAAAAGGCCTAGGTACTAATCACGTAACTAGTCTCCATTGAAGAACAGCTATACCTGTAAATCGGCATCCACTACGCACACCTTTACTAAAGCTTCAGAGCCATCTTCACATAGAACCATCTCACAATCAACAGCAAACATTGCATTTGAGGTCATCACCTTGGATTTTTTACCTAGCTTTGTAGCTACCCAATCCTGCTTCGTCATTTATACAAGTTAACAGGGAGAAACCACGTGACCAGGTAAAACTTACAGCCATTTGAAAAGCTAAGATTTCTACAGCATATCACTTTTAATTTAGTCAAAGTAGAAATGCCAAAGTTTTTGTAACCAATTTTGTAAAATCAGGGCCAAAACAATTGGAAATCAAATTCTATTACTTGTTATCATTCAGTTTACAGCGACAAAACAGTTTGCCACGAAATATCTCTTCCATAAAACAGAAGGTATCCTTTTCCAACAGAAAGGATATACATGGACAAACAACACCGTAAAACACCTTATCCTAAAAAGGATCATAGGCGAGTAGGAAAATACCTATCCCGTGTACGAAGTAATAAAGAAATCTAAAGCAATGCAGAAATTAAAGAAACAATTTCACTACAAAGGATTCATACGAATGTTAAGACACACTCAAACTAATGTAACTTTAAAACAAAAATGCAAGCAGAGATACAGCCAAGAAACCTGATCATTTGATGCGAACGAGTAATCCAGTGGATATTGTGGGTGCTCAAGAGTTGCACGGACAAGCTTCTGCATGGCCATCATCACGACAAAATTAATACTATCTAACAAACTGTGCATAATGAAAATAAAAAGGCAATTAGCAACTAGGGGAGCATACCCTTCTAAAATTACAGGGCCAGCAAAAACCAATAACTACGTGTAACAAAAAAAGATACCTGCTCCGGGGATTCATTTTCCGGAAAATTCTTTAACAATTGCTCCACGGCTTGGCGGGTTGTATGGCATTGGACAACTTTAGCCAAAACCTGAAAACACAAAAGGGGCAACAATCACCATCCGAATTAAACAACTGTTCTATCAAATTAACATACAAACTGGACACAGCTGATTACCTTCAAATCATCCTCATTGTTCAAAGTCTTCAAAAATGCAGTCAGTACATCGTTGGACCGCCTACCGGGATCACTCAAGCTAGCCCCAAACTTCTTATCATAACTACTTAAAAACTGCTTCCAGTCTCCTTTATCACCCTTCATCCCTCTCTTTTGGGACAATTTCACAATTTCCACAAGAACCTATCCACCACAAATTCAGAAAAATTCAACAAAATTCACACAAAACAAAAGCATCCAACTTTTCTCACAATTAAACCAAATAAGTTACAACCCAATAATGCTTAAACTTAAAATTTGATAATTTGGCTTTTAATCAGTTTTATCGGCAGCCCAGAAAGTAGAACAGACGAAAGCATTCGAATTGAGTAGAAATTTGTGAGGTGAAAGCTCAGCTTAGAGACCAAGAGTATGAAGTTGTGAGAGGGAGAGAGAGAGAGAGAGAGAGGGAGAGAGGGAACCTTTTTCTCTGCAGTAGCGAATAAATCATCCATTGGGGCGTTTTCCGGTGACGACCAAATGCAAGGCGAAGAGCAACGGCGCGAAGTTCGTGTGGCGGGCGGCTGAAAAAGGG